GCTTCCCACCCCTCACTCTTCCCAGAGCTCCTCTATTGGCCAGAGCACCCTGCAGCTCAGAGGTTTATAACAGGGGTTCAGGCAGTGGGTCCACACCCTTGTCTTCCTCACACCCCCTCCAGGAGAAGAACAACTTGCTCTCTAGACAAATAATCTCCCACCACTGTTCACAGCCTCCTCCAGCTGTCGGTTTTGGGCAGAAAGTTAGATGCTAGCAGGCCTGGAGACAGGGCTGGGGCGTACATGGAAACAAAGAAGAAGAGGTAATTTTCTTTTGTTCCTTAATCATTAGTTATAGACAGAACCCAAACAAGCTTATGGTTTCAGACTTTAGCCAAGAGAATATAACCTCCTGTAAGCATGCTGATAAGGTCCAGGGCCCACACAAAGTTTACAGCATGGGTGAGGGATTGGAAAACCCGCAAGGATTCGGACAAACTAAATACTACACCTAGGGAGTCAACAGGAACCTTTTCCCTCTGAAGCCGGTCAGCACAGCCCACTTTCCTTGTAAAAGAACAATGACCTCAAAGGAAGGAAATGATAATCGCTGAAAGACCCAGTTCATCATAAAAATGTCATGTGAGACCTTTTTTAGCCACTGTCATGTTGGTGCTTGCCCACTTTTATGACATTTTAAGATCCACTTTCTTTCATATTCTGTATTTACCACTTCGCAATAAACTACATATGCTTGCTGAGACTGCTTGCTTGTCTCTTCTCACATCTTCCCTCAAAGATACAAAGAACCAAGGAGCCAGCACTGCTGGTTCTTTACGGCGTTAAGACGTGGCTTACTCACACCATCGAGGCCAGGGAGTTTATAAAAAGACTCCCTGCAAAACCAGACATGTGGATCAATGGAACGGAACACTGGATACAGAAGCAACTCTGGGCACATCCAGCTACCTGATCTTCAACAAAGAGGCCACGAAATGCACTAGAAAAAACATAGCTTCTTTAATAAAAGATGATAGGAAAACTGGTTATCCAAAATGCAGAAGAATGAATCTAGATTCCTACCCATCGCCCACTATTAAAATAAAATCAAAATGGATCAAAGACCTAGACATAAAAACAGCAACACTTAATCTGCTGGAAGGAAAAAATAGGTAAAACTCTTGAAGACATGGGCAGAGGTATGGAATTTCTGAACAGAACCTTAATTTCACAAAAAACAACACCAATGATCAATAATAGGATTACATCTAACTGAAAAGCTTCTGCACTGCAAAAGAAGCAACAGAATGAAAGGACAATCTGCAGAATGATAAAATATTTTTGCCAGATACTCCTCAGACAGAAGACAAATATCTAGAACATACAAAGAACTAAAACAAAAATTAGATTCCTCCCCCAAATAAGTGACCGAACAAAAATGGGAAATAGAAACATCTCAAAAAAAGAAGTACAAATGGCCAACAAGTATACGAAACAATGGTCAGCCTCTTTGGCCGTTACAGAAATGCAAATAAAACAACCTGAGAATTTATCTTAGTCCAGAAAGTATGACCATCAGTAAGAACTTCAAAAACAGCAAACACTTGGAAGGCTGTGGAGCCAAAGGAACCTCCTATGTTATTGCTGAGAATATAAACAAGCACAACCACTGTGGAAATTACCATGGAGATTCTTCAAACAATTAAAAACAGACATTCCATCTGACACAGCCATACCTCCTCTAGATATCTGTTCCAAAGAGTTAAAGACATCACATATCCATGCTTATAGCAGTACGATTCATAATAGCTAAAATATGCAAGCTGTATATAGGCCAATCAATAGATGAATGGATAAAGATAATGCGAGATAGATAGATAGATAACTAGCCAGACAGATCCCATAAGGAAATATAAAACTGAGTCATTTGTAGGAAAATGGATGTACCTTGAGCCTATAATGCTAAGTGAAATAAATCACACACAGAAGGTTAAATATTGCATGCTTTCTCTCACATGAGAAACTTAAGGTATAAATAATTTAAAGAGCAAAATAAAAGAAAGATGATAGAAAACAGGGAGATAGACTTTGTGGAGGTGGGAGGGAGATCTGGAGATTGGAGGCAACAGAAGGGAGGGGAGTAGAAGGGAAAGTAAAAAAAGAATCAAGATGCAATATGCATATTTACCAACATCCTACAATGAATATGTTCATTATGTACTACAAACATATACCAATAAAGTTTTTTTTAAAGAAAGAAAGACTACGATGATAGAAACAAAAAGTAAAGCATGGTGAGTGACTAAAGACAAAAATCTTTAAAAGTAATTTTTAAAATAAAAGAGCTTAGTTTGGAAGATGCTAGTTAAGTTTCCATCTCCAGAAAAAAATGGACTAAGTTAGTGAACCAAAAACTTAAATGTAAAATTACATTAAAATTAATGTAAATTTTGTCCAATGACCATGGGAGGAAAAAAATATTCTCACAACCAACAGAAGAATTCAAGTCACGCACTGAGATCTATCTGTTCAAGTGTCAGCTGTTTAAAATTACAGCTCTGGGGGATGGGGATTTAGCTCAGCGGCACAGCACCTGCCTGGCAAGCGCAAGGTCATGAGTTCAATTCCCAATACTAGGAAAAAAAAAAAAAAAAAAAACTAAAATTACAGCTCCGAGTAAGCTGAGTTTACAAGAGTTGCACATACCTGGGAATGGAAAATGAAGTCACTTTTTCAGAGTGTAGTTTGGTCCGCAGTAGGTAAAAGTCTTAAAACTATTACACTTCTTTGACCACTACAATTTCACTTCTAGATATTTATCTTAAGGAATAGGTATGACGGTAGATGTTTAACAGTCCAACTGCACTATCTTTTAGAAAAAGAAAAAAAGCCAGGTGTGGTGGGACACACCTGTGATCCCAGCAGTTGAGAGGCTGAGGCAGGAGAATCGTTGGGAGTTCGAGGCAAGCCTGGGCTACAAAGTGAGCTCAAGGCCAGTATAGTAAGCCCCTATCTCAAAAAGACAAATAAAACAAAATAACATAAAATAAAATTTAGAGAAAAGAAAAAAGAGGCAGCGTGAATTGCAAATGAGAATGATTAAATAAGTAATATCACCTCAGTTCAGCAGCATTATTTGAGACCACTAAGAATGACATAAAGGGGCTGGGGATTTAGCTCAGCGGCAAAGCGCCTGCCTGGCAAGCGCAAGGTCGTGAGTTCAGTTCCTGGTACCGGAGGGAAAAAAAAAAAAAAAAGAATGACATAAAAAGTTGAAGATTGTTTAGTGATTTTTAAGGATTTTCTAAAACAAACTGTGTACCAAACAAGAAAACATAAAAATAATCACCATATTATAGAAAAATATGTCTATAGGGCCCTTTAGTAAAGTGATTAAAAGCCCAGGCTGTAGAGCCAGAGTGCTCGGGTCTGACTCCACAAATGACTTTTCAGGGGCTGGGGATTTAGCTCAGTGGCACAGCACCTGCCTGGCAAGCGCAAGGTCGTGAGTTCAATTTCCGGTCCTGGAAAAAGAAACTAAAAACATAAATGACTTTTCCCTGGTTGTACGACCTTGGACAAGTCACGAAACCTCTTTATGCCTTGTTGTCCTCATCTGGATAAGGAAATAATAGAGAAAGCTACCTCGCTGATGCTGAAAGGATTGAATGAGTTCACCCCGAAGCACAATAAAACATATATGATAAGGCGTTACCCTACTAGCATTGCCTGTCTAGGCACATAGAAAACCAACTGGAAGAACATACAATCTAATGATTATTTCTGGTGAGTGGTATGACAGTAAAGCGTAAGCTTCCTTTTGATATCTCAATTTTCTAAACTTTCTTTCAAGTACTTGTGGTACTTTTAAAAAGAATAAAAGATTGCTTAATTAAAAGTAAAGAACACTAGGGTAGACTTCTTGAGAGAAAAAGACAAGAAACAAAAGTCCAGGCCAAAATACAAAATATTGTTGATTTACTAAGAAGCCAAGGAAGAAGCCGTCCAGTGTGACAGCCAGACCTGAGAAAACCAGAGTACCAAGATTACCATCGCTAAACTGATGTGGCAACTTGGCTGCACTATGGTGCTCAGTTTTGGGGCAAATCAGTTAAGCTGTGTTGCGAGGGTATTTTTTAGCTGTGAGTAACATTTATACCTTTGAATAAAGTAGATTATTTTACCTGCCGTAATGTGGGTGGGCCTCACCCAGTCAGTTGAAGGCCTAACAAGGAAAGACTGAGGTCTTATGGAGAGGAAGGAATTCTGCCTCCTGACTGTCATTAGACTTAAGACTGCAAAGTGATCTTCTGCCAGAATTGCCCATCTATCTGCTGGCTGGCCCTGCACACCTCACACTTGCCAGACCCCACAACAGTATGAGGCAACTCCTCAAAATTCCTGAAAATAAACTCTGACCATCTCTTCATGTATATCTGGATTGCTTTGCTGGTGAGCTCTCACTAATTCACAAGCCAGGTGAACAGAAACAAAGTGAGATGGAGGAAATGTTCTCCGTACTCCAGCAGGGCACTCTCCGCCCTAGCTCCTTGCAGGGTGGTGAGCAGCGTGCACCTGTACTTTTTAGGGCCCTCAACCCTCGGCCCTGTCTTTATTCTCCTTCCTCCCACATCCTCTTTGCTATCCGCAGGGACAGTAACTATGCTGGAAAATCTAAGCTGAGCTTGTTTTCACTTGAAAGTACCAAGAAACAAAACCAAAGAACACCCTTTGCTGACGAGCAGGGCTAGCTCTTCCCCAGGGAAGCGTGGATTTCACCTCATTTTTGAGGTGAAAAAAATACCCTCGCAACACAGCTTAACTGATTTGCCCCAAAACTGAGGTGAAATCCATTTCAATGCTCAGGGGGCCTGGGTTGGTTTTCCAAGTGGGGCAGGTTCAGGACCGACAACAGGAAGGTGTGGGAGCTGAATGTTCCATTTTGACATCATAAAGGTCATTCCTGCCCTAACAAGAGAAAGAAAAGCAAAGAGGGAGGCCCTACGTTCTGGATAGTGACATCAGAAGAAGCTAAGATTGACTGTATGTGTGAAAACCTCATGGTGCCACATTCCTCCCTTGTAGAGCTGCTTTTGAGGTTTTGCCCTCCCATGAGGCCAACCTGATTCATGCCAGGCTTCCTCAACAGAGCCTCCTGTCTAGTCCTTATTCCAAGAGACCTGTATGTTGACAAAAATACTTTACCAAGTACCTGTGGGTATTCGTACACCACACTTCATCCACAACCACCATGGAGGCATATGAATGTAGCAAGAACCCTGGCAAGCCAGGAATGAAAAATCCAGTCCATCTCTGCTCAAAACTGTCAGTGTGACTTTGGACAAAACATCTCGACAATTTAAAAGTAAGGTCCCCCAGCTTTGCGCAGTGGCAGTATCATAGCCAGTGAGGTTTATCAGAGGCACAATTATTGCTAATTAAAAGTAAGGTCCCTCTTATGAAATACTGTATAGGAATAAGAAGAACCTTCAGCATGTGAGAAGGACAGGTATCAGTGTCTGAGAAGCCCCTTTAACACAGCAGCTGCCACACAATGTATACACAATTAATAGCTGTTAGGCCTAAGGTGACCCTCAATCCCTTCATCAGCAAATGAACTTGGCTTCTGTGACTGTTCCTGGGAGACCAGCAATGCTAACATGCAGCCTCCTAGGCCTTGCCTGTGACCTCAGACTCAGTAGTCAGGCCCACCGTGGTGTTCATGGGAGAAAGCAACTTCTTCCTTGGCCACCACTGCCACTTCACCAATACACATTTGAAAACTAATGGTACACACAGGTGCCACATAATTATTCTATTGCAGCAATGTTTAGCAGACTCATCAATTTACAGAACCTGTACAATACGTGAAAGGACCACCAAGCACCTGTAACCTCCAACTCAGGGATCAGGGGATTGAAAGCAGGTTCTTTACACTCAGATGGGAGGACCAAGCACCAGGCAATCAAACAGCATCTGAGAGTCCCACGGCATCTGTATGCACCAGTAACCAGAGGAAGGCTCTCTGCAAAGCTGATTGCAGCGTGAAAGTCATATATATTGAATATTATTTCTTTCTGCTTCATAGACAACCAGCATTTCACTTGAAGTTGATCTGAAAATAATGGTTCCTAACATTAGCTTTATATTTCTATGCCTCTAAAATAGTAATGGCACATAATAGGAAGTTAAAGGAAGCCTGTGGTAAAATCCCCTTAAGGAAAAGTAAAATAAATGTATATTTTTTAGTGGATAATCACTCCCTTATTTTTGTAATTTCTGTTTCTGGATTTTCCAGGGTGTGTGTTATTAGTTATTGATAACACTTCTTAAAAGATAGAATGAATGATCCATTTGAGAATTAATCCCATGTAACTGTCCCTATTTTATTTATTTATTAATTTATTTTGGTCATTTTGGAGACAGGGTCTTGCTATGTAGTTCAGGCTGGCCTTGAGCTCACTACATAGCCTAGGCTAGTCTCAAACTCATAGCGATCCTCCTGCCTCAGCCTTCCAAGTGCTGGGATTACAGGGGTATGCCACCATACCCAGCACTGTCCCTATTTTAAATAATAAGGCCCTACATTGTTTAAGAGTTCATCAGTTTACAATTCAATTTTACAGTCAGGATGATTTTTAATTTCACAATGACTATCTGGTACATGTAAGCAAAGTTGATCATCATTAATAGATAAGGAAACTGAGGCTCGGAGAGGTTAAGGCACTTATTAAGCCATGTAGCCAGTTACAGGATGGAACTGTGTTGGTCTCCACTCCTGAGGTTAAGAACAAACCCATGTGTTCTCTTATCTGCCCAAAACCAGTTTCATCAAGGTGAATGTATAAATTTACCAATAGCCAGTGACCTCCAGAATGACCTCAAAACCCTAATATTGAGCACCTCATCCTCTTCCCATTAATTAAGAACTGCATTTCCAAGCCCCAAAGCTAACTCTGTACTTAACCTTTATATGCCCTTGGTGTTTCTTCATTGCTGTTTGCTCAGAACTCCCTGTCATCTACCATCAACTTTTAATCCTGGTAATTCCCTGGGAGTATTTTAATTAATGGAGGAAGAAAGTAAATGTCAATCAACCTAGTAAAGAACAGCACTTACAGGTTTGGAGGGTTAAAACCCGCACAAAAGCAGTCCATTCTGACTTAGAGCTGCATTGGCATTTTCTCCAATTTGGTCCTGGAGCCCCTTTTGATGTCAGAATCAGAGGTATCTCACTCTGTATCTATAAACACAGAGATGAAGCCCAGTAGCTCCAGTGAGATGGATGCACAGAAACAGGCATGAATTGGATGTCACATTACCCAGTCCTCATGTTTGAAGAGAAAGCTGTCCTACATGAGAAATGGACAGGACTTCCACATCAAGCTGTCACATGTCACCTGCCAATAAGCCATGTCCTCAAAAGGGAGAATAAGCTAAAAAGAATAATTAAGCAAATAGAGAAGCAATAATAATGATGGCAGGGTAAAATAAATGCTGTAAAACATGCACACTGACAAAAAAGTACTGGGAGAAAGCTAAAAGGTGTAGGAGAGTTCCCACCCGTGTGTGACATCAGGAAATATATTACGGAGGCGGTGACATTTGAGTTGTTCAGAATGGGTGAAGGGCATTTGCATGGAGGATATGGAAAGGGAGCATTAATAGCAGAGCAAAGGGCTTGCAGAAAGTCACAAAGGTAGCATTAACTGAGGGGTTGTGGGGAATAACAGGTCCATACTTTTAACCCAAGATTATGAAAGTGAGGACATGGTGCAAAATAAGTCTGTTCCCACTGCATGTTAGTCAGCAAATCTTTTGTACCACCAGGACATTGCAAAGTTTTGAGAACAGGGTCTGGTGAAGATGGAAAAGAACTTCCCCACCTCCTCTGCTCCACAGTAAGTTTTCTTCCTTCTTCAATGGAAAGGAAGAAGTCAGAACCTACTAGTTTGATTGTTCTAAGAGTTCTGCCTATGAGTGGGACACCTAGATCTAGGATATTCATAGAGTCCCTGAAAACTGAAAGATTCTAGCTTTCCTGCCCAAACCAAAGCTGCTAATGAGCATGTTAGGCACATGCCCCTGCCTGGATCAGAATTCAAGGAAACAGCAGGGCCAACACAACCTGCCACGTCAGGGATTAGACCTAGAAAGCCTAATAGATCCTCTCTAAGTCACTAGGACATCTCAAGTATCTGCCTAATACTTCCTGGCATTTCTGGGCTGAACTTGAGCACTGGGCTTCTGGAATGTTCTGATCAGGGCCTATTTTCAGTGTCTTGGGAGAAGACATCCCAGTTGTAGCACAGAGAAGATAAAAAAGCTCAGAACTGTTCACTGTTTTTCTTTTCTACAAGAACCACACCTCCATCCCCCTATCTTCCAATTAAGACACGTGGGCAACAAGCACCAGCAAATTCCCTCTTCACATCCAAGCAATAGCTTTCTGGCTTTCAGAACTGCGCTTCTTTAATGCTTTCATTTACTCCAAAGCAGAGCGAGCAGAGGATGAGAATAGGACTCAATTTCTGATCAGTCACCCAGCTTCTCCACCTCCAGTATACTCATGAACTATAACTACTAAGTAAAAGCACTAACTTAGGACAACTCTTCACAAACTGTATAAACTAAATAGTTATATACGCAGTCCCGAACTGTCAGTCCGGTTTCTCTCTCCTCATCTCCCCCAGTCCCAGCCCTACTCATACACTTCAGCCATCCTCCCCCAACCACCAACACACACACACACACACACATACACACACACACAAATGCACCTTTGACCTCTACTTCTGATTCCTAGAGCTGATCCCTCCTGCAGACACAGTCCTGACCCAGACACATGTAAAGACATAGGCTTTGGAGGCAAGCTGATCTAAATTAAAATTTAGATCTATTACTTTCTCGGTATGTGAACTCTGGATGCTTCACTTAACCTCCCCATGTCTTGATATCTTTACTGGTAAACTGGATGCAATAATAACTATCTCACAGTTATCTCAAAGACAAAACACCTGGCTTGTTACTTCCCTTCCCCAACTTGCCCTTCACTCCCAAATATTTCTAGAAGTTCAAGTCCCTTCATCTAAAGCTTACCACATCACCCACAGAAGGAAGGTCTAATCTGTTAGCAACTTCCCCTTCACTTATTTGGTCTTTTTTAAACACTCATAAGCTGCCATAGCAACCTCCTTCACCCCCTCCTACTCCCAAAGCTTGGAGCCCTTACTCTGCCCTGCCCTGGCAAAACTGGCCAGCCAGCTCCCGAACCCACCTCAACCCCAGGACTCAAGCCATTCCCTTTCCATGAGGACAGTGACCACCACAAAGCCTGCTGCTTGCCCTACTGAGGTCTAGAGCCCGTCCAGGTTTCTGTCTACCTAACATGCTGGACCATGTGCTACTCTTGCCAATAGTTGTGACCAAGGCCCTTAACGGAGCCTTCCCGTTCAAACTGTCATTCTCTTTGGTGCACGGTGAGGTACAAGTGAGGGTGGCCAAGACGGTGGTCCCCATCTAGAGTCATGAGAGACTACATATGTTCCTGAAAAACGCCCTTGGGAATGTGCTATCGGAGCTCAGAATGCTTCAGAATGATCATGGCTCTTCTTGAATGGAGGAAAAGTTTGATGTTGACAAAGTGCCAAAAGTCAGTGAGAGAAGAATAAGTAGCCGCACGTCGCAGTAGAGAAGACGAGGGTCTGGAGTCTGAGGGACTCTGGTGCAACTTCTTCACCCCTGCACTGAGTAGCTACTTCTCTGAATATTTCTCAGTGTCCTAGTTTACAAAATTGGCTTATCCATAGCACCTGATTGTCATGGGGACCAGACCAAATGAGATGGTAATGACAATCAAATGCTAATTACTCTTATTATTAATCTCTTGGGGACAGGGACTTCCAGGCTGTAAAGTCCATGAGGGTAACCCTAGGATCTCAGCCCTACATCTGAAATGGAGTAAGCTTTCCATAAATATTTGTTGGTTGGTCAACCAGTTGAATTCCCTGATTTCCCAGTAAAGTTGTAGACAATTGTGTTGAGCCTCTTCTCCCTCAAGTTGGAAAATTCTACCTACTCATAGCAGGTGGTAGGAGAGGTGTTAAATTTATTTTTCTTTTGATTAAAAAGTAAGACCAAACCACAAAGAAATGAGACTAGCTAGCTTTCTTATGTGTCATAAACTGGGCATAAAAGGTTAATTTCAAACAAGTATCAAAAAATGTTCTAAGTAATAATAATTACTTGGATAATGTTCTTGAATGTTTGAACAAAAAGAGCCCTCTGACTTTTTAGGTTCATGGAGAGAGGACTGTTTACCAGGAATCCCAGCCTATGCTGAGAACTGCACAGCCCAGCTCATAAGAAAGGGGCTTCCTGTGAGCGGGCAGACCCAGGTAGAGACCGGCTCCAGTGTGGTAGGAAAGGCCTGTTAATTGACCAAAACAGCCACAGGTCAGAAAGCAAAACAGAGAAGAGAGGAGGTGGGGCTGGGTTGGGCTGAACCTTGAATGAATCAAGCCTTCCTGAAGGGTGGGAACATCCTGTGTAAAGCACAGCTTGATTAAATCCTCTATAAAAGGTTCTTGTCCTGCTGACCTGGTACTCCGCACACTGCTTAACAGCCACTTGTCTCGTCCCACCTGGGCATTAGGTAAGTCCCCTTTTGAGGAACCTTTCTCATTCTCAGTGTCTTGGTGATCTAAACTCATGAAACCAAAGCTGTTAGATACCAGCTGTACATCAACAGTGCTGGCTACGGGCAAAAGGTATCTTTTTGACTGAGCCCCAGGCAAACTGGGAGCCAGAGCCCTTTGGGAAATGACACCCTCCTGAAGCAATCAAGCTTCTCCCTCCACCTGAGGCTGGCCTGGCCTGGTCAGCAGCAGCTCCTCTCACTAGAAACATCCTCCCCAGAAGTGGAGCTACCCAAGTACCCTCCTGGGGTTACTTATTATTATTATTATTATCATTATTATTATTATTATTACTTATAAGCACGGCTTATTCCTGGGGTTCTAGAAGGTTATTTGTGGTGCTGAGAGTCCATGGGGTCAGAATCAGTTTACTTCTGCCAACCCAGACAATGACTCAAGTTAGCCCAGGGAGGAAAGGACATACGTGACATTTATTGAAGATAAGTTTGTAGATTTATCCTACAAATCTGAAGTATAACTAAAAGGCCATTTTATTATTATTATTTATAGGTCAGTGCTTAAAGTCTGCCTCAGGGTTTCAAAAGGTATACTTTTCATCTATGTTAGGAAGTTACACCCCCTCATGTAACAAGAAGAGTCTACCTGAAATTGTTGGCTGCCAGTTTATAGAAAGGATGCACCCTGGGCAACCTGCCTGGAGTCTGCACCCTCTCAGTCCTTCAGGCCACTCTATCTTTCTTTTTGTGGCACTCAAATCTCTTTCTTCAACTCTCACATTTCTGTAACCATGCCACCTTCTCTCCACGCTCTTATCCTTTACATCTCCAAAGTCCTGCTCTGGCTTTTCAACTGTGGAAAGCTTCCATGTTCCCTTGTACTTGAACCTTGTCTTGAACACTCTCTCTTCTCTTTGGTCCCTCAGAGGGGACCAAATGCTTAACACATTTCCTGGTCCCTAGGCCTCTTGGCCACTCAGTCACATTCCAGCTTTGCCCCAACCTACCACCAGATTTCTTGGTTAATGAAAATGAAAATCTTTCCCTTCAGTTAGGAATCTTCTTCATAGGTCACCTGGACTGCAGGTCAAATAGAGTCACGTGCCTATCGTGCAAGCCGACCCCCCTTACAGGTCACAGATGTGAGTGCAGAGGTCACGTGAGGAGACACTTGGAGTTGAAAGACCTTTGCCTGGGGAAGGTACCCCCTCCTTAGCATTCCCAAAAGGCGGCAGCCCAGCTCGTTCCTGAGCACATTCCCCCAAGGGGGAAAGAGAAGACAGAGCTGGGCCCTGGAGTCCTGATGGGTTCCCAGGCACGGCAGATGTTGACTCCTGTGTGTACTCACTGCCTTCTGGTGCCTCCACAAGGACTCTAACACCCTTGTGAGAGGAAAATAAAATGTACCCTGCCCGCAGGGTACATTCTAGAAAACTTATTGCATTTGGGTTAAGAAGAGATGGCTTTATCGGGTTAATAATTCTTAGTTATTGCCTGCAATCTCCCAAATGAGTGGACAGCAAAGGCTTAAATAAATGAGACAAATGAAATGATTTCAAGGCTCCAGGAGGGTCTATCTCTCTAACAATATTTAAGATTCTCTGGGTTAAGATCCAGACTTCCCTGGGCTGCTGGTACTTACTAGGTTTTCAAATAAAGGAGGGGGATACTAAAGAAAATGCAGGAATCCAGGCAGGACTTGGGAAACCCTTTCCAGAATTCTCCAATTAATACTTGTGTTAATTTAGGAGAACTATGTTATCTCCAGGAAGGCCTTCACTACAGGAGTGCGATGCCCGCAGCTACAGTCTCCTCTTAGCTAATGGAGGTTGGAGCCAAATGTCCTCAGTTGTGACCTTCTCTTGTCCTTTGAGGATTCCTGGCTTCATTCACCATTACAGGCCTCACTAGGGACCAGCGACTCACAAGTAAACATGGAAAGCCAATTGGATAATATAAGTCCTGCTCAGAGCTGCTTCATAGTGGTCTCCATCATGGGTTCTAGGATTCCTTGGTCTCTTAGGCTGTGTGATATTGGGAAAATCATCTAACTTCTCTGAGCCTGTTTCCTCACTTACAAAAAAGTAGAGATAATGAGGATTGCAAGAGATGAGGCACAGGAAAGCGCTTGGTGAGCAGTCGAGTGTAGAGATGAACACAAATTATGTGCATACACATATAATAGCAATAATGATATTTAATAGCTAGCACTTAGTATAAGCCAGGTATTTTCCAAGTACTTTTTAAATGAATTATCTCTTTAAATGTTCACAGTAACCCTACAAGTAAGCACTAGTGTTAGCTTCAGTCACAATAGGTAAACTGAGGCCTAAGAGGCAATGCAATTTGGCCCAGCCTACGCAGCAGGGAGGTGACAGTCTGGCATTTCACTGTTGGCTCAGGAGCTGCTACTAGTCACTGTGTGTTCTTCCTCTCCACAAATAAAGTGCACTCGGGAGGAAAGGACGAAGGGAGCCAGAGACCAAAGCAGAGCTTCAGTGTAAGCAAAGAAATGCTCAGAGGAAGCAGCTAAGGCTGCTTATGCACCCTCAAGGGAGACTTTCATCTCTTTCAGCTGACTTCAAAGATGCCTCAGTTACTGCGAAACATTCATGGGATCATTGAGGCCTTTGGGCGCTACGCCAGGACAGAGGGCAGCTGCACAGCTCTTACCCGCAGGGAGCTGAAGAGACTGCTGGAGCAGGAGTTTGCGGACGTCATAGTGGTATGATGTGAGCCAGGTGGGGAGGGGTAGAGGACGGACAGCAAAACTTGTTTGTCTGGGGATCAAGGAGGCCATAGCTCACTCCAGGCCTAGAAAGAGAAGGCAAAGTACAGGAGGCAGTCATGGAAATGGACACATCTGGTCGTTAGAAGAAGAACTGAGTTCTTGGGCGCGGTCCTTTGCTTTAATTAATTCTAACTTGAAGACAAGGTGAAACAGTTCTAAAGGGCTGGCTCAAGGAAGAGCAGATCCTTGAAATGTTCTAGAAAAGACTATAAAGGCTGCTGTTAGCTGCTTCTTAACTTTGATACAGTAAACACTTCCTGTGTCTAGCTAAAATTTGATCTAATGATCTAGCTAAAATTTTATCATTAGATCAAATTTCACTGGAAGCATAAAACAGTTGCTTAAAAATTGAGCTCACTGATCACATCCAAAATGAGATTTTAGAGCACAGGTTATTAAAAGCCGGGGTTAAGGGAGAGATTCGAGGAGCACTTCCCTATCTCTAAAGCAATCAGGCAGATGGAATCTTGGGGAACCAGGATGTATGGGCAGAGCAGCACACTGCCTTTGTGTGCTCAGAGCTACCCCGTAGTCCTCATGGACCCCGCCCACTGCACTTTGGGGATTTGCTCAGTAAGGGACCCTCGGAATTCCCATGGGCCAGGTTCCTCTCTGCTTCTCTTTGTGTGGGGCTTAATGCAAACTCTTTCATGACAGGAAAGGTGCCAAGGACAACTGGAAGAATTGACCTTAGAGGCCAGCCGGTTGTTTTATGAGAACATTTATTCATTCTTGAATACACCTTTGTCCAATCATCCTATAGCCCAGAAACCGTTCCAGACACAGTGCATACAGAACAAAAGGTGCTTCCTTTCCTTAAAGGAGAGAGGCAGGATTTAAAAATATACAGGCAACTAAGTGTGAATGCTGCTACAGCTGTGTGCCTGGAGGTGGCCCTGGGGGACTGGGCTCCCAGGCTGCAGGGGACAGCAGCTGGAAGCTAGGTGGAGCTGAGTGAGCCACTTCCTCCTCAGGAGAGGAATGCTGACCTGGCTTCATCTTCTCCCCAGAAACCCCATGATCCGGCCACTGTGGATGAAGTTCTGCGCCTGCTGGATGAAGATGAGACAGGGACTGTAGAATTCAAAGAATTCCTGGTCTTAGTGTTCAAAGTTGCCCAGGCCTGTTTTAAGACATTAAGTGAGAGTGTTGGGGGAGCCTGCAAATCTCAAGCGTCTGGGGGCCACCATGCTGGGTTCTCAAAAGAGCTGCAGGAAGGTCAGAGAAGTGGCACTAACGTGGAACAGGCTGGCAAAGGACAGCATCAAGAAGGAAGCAGCCATGGGCACAGTGAGTGGGCTACGCAACAGCAGGGAAGGACTGGGACTCAAACCCAGGGTCAGGACATCAGCTCTCCACAGGTGAGCACCCGTGACAGGCAGGCCGAGTCCCAGGGACAGGTGCAGGTGAGCCAGCGGACACAAGTAAGGGAGCACGTGGAGCAGACCCAGAGAGTAGGAGACAGTGTGAGTCATCAGACCAGAGAGAGGAGGTCAGAAAGGCAGTCACAGAGCAGCAAACACACAGGTGAGACCATAACTGGAACCACATCACAGATCCAGACAGGTGCAACACAGACTGTGGAACAGGACAGGAAGCACCAGACAGGAAGCATCCAAACACAAGGATCCCCCTATAGTCAGACCAGAGAAACCGAGGCCCATGGTCAAGACACGAGCCAGACCAGCCAGGTTGTGGTAGGAGGACACATCCAGGCCCAGGCAGGGTCACACAGTCAGACTCATAAGCAAAGTGTGGAACAAGACAGGAGCCATCAGACAGGAAGCACCAGCACCCAGACACAGCAGTCTTCCTGTGGCCAGACAGAAGGGACTAAGGCCCTCGGTCAAGACAAGAACCAGACCAGCCAGGCTGTGAAAGGACACATCAAGTCACAGGCAGGGTCATACACCCAGACTCAGGAGCAGCACTGGAGTCAGACTGCAAGCCCCATTGGGGACAGAGGTCAGGGACAGACCCAGACGCAGTCAGGCAGTGACCAAAGATGGACACAAGCAAGCAAGGCAGGACAGTCAGTTCTGGAAGGACAGGTCCAGACTGGGGCAAGCACTGTGACAGGAAAACAGGATCAGAGCAGCACTCAGCCAAGTGTGACTGGAGGGCAGCAAGAGAGAGAGCCCACAGAGGTGAGAGAAGAGTGGGTCGATGACCACACAAGGGAAATAGTGATCCGAAGACAGGATGAGGGCAGCCCATGCACCAGTGCTCCTTCAGTGTAGGGCCAGGAGGCAGCCCAGCCCCAGAGAAGGGAGGCACCACCACTGTCAAGGGGCTGTATTCCTACCAGAGAGCCAACAAGCCAAGACTCTGTCTGACTCCGATGCCCCATACCAGCGACAGCCAGAGAGGGACTGGCACATCCTTGGTCATCAGCTCTTCATTACAGCGCTCCCCCTTTAGTTCTTCCTCAAAGAGAACATTTCTGCAAGGTGTTTTCTCTCTTAAACTTTGCTGTGCAGACTCTCAAAAACTGGAAGCCATCCATTTCTGCTGAGTTCTCAGCTTGTAAGGGTCTTTGGGGCTACTTTCATCTGCCATCTGTCTGCTGTCCACCTATGCTAATACATTAATAAAACCTTCGTAAGCAATTGATCTCTGCATCCCATTTAATTACCTTCTATTGACACTGGCTAAGGGTCATCAGGTTGTGATAGTTGGATAGTCCCATCCCATAAAGAACATCTAATAGAGAAACTGTTGTATGAAATTGATTGATTCATTGACTGATTTTGGTAGTATTTTAAATTGAACCTAGGGCCTTCCCACTGAGCTACATCCCCAACTGTTATTTTTTATTTTTAGAGGGGGTCTCAAGTCTCTAAAGTTCCCGTGTTGGGCTTGAACCTGAGATCCTCCAGAGTGCTGGGATTATAAACTAGGCATCACCACACCCAGCTACTATTGTATGAGAGTCTAAGAGTGAAAGAGAGGAAATATAACTTTGAATACTTGGAACACATATGTCAGGGAAGCCGTCCTCTAGATGCTTTTCTGTGATGACTCTTAACAACTAGGGGTTATACAGGTAAAATTATTGTTTCCTAATTGTAGACTCTTGAGTCTCTATTCACCTGTAAAGCATACAGGACAGCTGGTGTAAGGTTTCTAATAAATGAAAAAAGACCTCTGGGGGTGTGCAGGGGAAAGCAGGGAAGACCCTCATTTCCAGGGTCTAAGCCAGGAACCAGCGCCCCTGAGCTTCCCTTCACCACCACTGCCCACCGTGTTAGCTCTGGCTTCCTAGGCTGTCGCACACACTGGACAGGAACAAGTTGTAGGCTGTTTTATTGTAAGAATCACAAGTAGTTTTCAAAATTAGGAGTTTTATAAGATGTGTTAAAAATAGGGAATTTGAAAAAAATTATCATAGTAAAAGATACACTGTCATTAGTCCCCTTCAAAAGATTCCCCTTCACTTCTAATACACTTATCCCATCATTCTCAACACCTTCTGAAGCAGTTCTATGAAGCACTTCCGGAAGTCCTCTTTGGTGTCTTTGGCTGTGCTGTTGTGAGTGGTTCGATGTCCTGAATTGATTCAAAACATTTATCTTTCATGATCATTGTGACTTTGGGGAAGAGCCCAGAAGTCACACAGTCCCAGGTGTGGTAAAAAAGGAAAGTGAGGAGAGGAAATACTTCATGTTTTTATGGGCCTGCCTTTCTGCTGGATGGCACTTAGCAGCAGTACTCACTGTACTGTTGATCACACCTCATAAAGACACTCATAAGACAGGACTTCCAGAACTGCTTCAGAAAGTGGCAAGAATGATGGGATGTGTCCAAAGTAAACAGGAGCATTCTGAGGGGGATTAACGATAATGTCTTTCACTGGAATAAAATTTTTAAACATTTAACACTCACCATACATTTTAATCATACCTCGTAAATCTAGCCTTAGAGATTCTGACTCCCTAGGTTTGGAGGGAAGCCTATGAATATTTTACATCTTCTAAAGGGAAGGTTTGCTTCTTGAAGTACAAAAGGCTAGTGCAGAGTACTGAAAGGCTTCCCACAACAAAACAATTAGATCTTGTATGAAGCATATTTTTCACTGTATTGTTGGTTTAGGGAAGTAAGGAAAACAAATGTAATAGGCTGAATAACTATCTCCAAATAAGGTAGAAGGCTAAAGCATGGCAATGTGGTACAGCAACTGGGCACAAGCTGCCAACTGAAGAGACCTGGTAACCCCTGGCACAGGGCAGAAGCTTCTGAGCCTGATGAGATCAACCTGAGAGTCCTACACTCAGTACCAATCTTCTGACACAAGAACACGCTGAACTTGACACCTGATAGCAATCTTCTACATGAAAACAAGCCACGCCTAGCACCTGAAGCCAGTTTTCTAGCATGAGATCAAGTGGGCCACCTGGATCAACCATCAAAGAAGATACTTTTTAAAAGATAGCAGCAATTGACTCTGCACCACCGCCCTCTTGTTCTTGCAGTGGTCCATTCTGCATGTAGAGCATATTTTTCCTTACAAGCATCCTTTTCTCCTTAAGCATTTCTTTTGTGCTACCTTTTCCTTTTATTCTTATTTATTCAAATAAATGTTAATCTTTCACATTCACCAACTGTTCCATCCAATTCACTGAATAGGACAATAAGAATGTGGAAAGCACTGCTGGGCCCTGCACAACCCTGTAACATTTGGTAAGCCAGCCAGGAGGTAACAGCAGGACCAGGAGGTAAGAATGTCGGGCACAGTTATGTTTCTCTTACTGAAATCTGTAGACATGAGCCAAGAAGGACTAGTTTAATGACTGGTTTAGTTTTTTCTCTCTCTCACTCTCTCTCTCTCTCTCTCTTGCTCTCTCTCTCCACCATCGGAAGGCCCCAAGCCTTCCCCAATCCTCTTTCAAACCCCTTCTTACTCCTTTTCTTCCAAGACAGGCAGGGAGAAGCAGGGAGCTCGAAGGTGGTAAAAATTAGTGGAAGCTGGGCACCACCTGGTCCTGCCAGTGGCCACGAGAGAAGAGCCAGTGGAGTGCTGAAGGAGTGTGGAGCAGGAAGCTCATGCATCTGCTGGCTCAGCTTGGGTCTCAGTATCACAGAGCCAGGCCAAGGGAGCATGGCCCCTTTCATTCCTGGCCACTGTACACTTGTAACAGAAATCGGAACACTAACACTCTCGGGTGGGGTGGAGGCTGAGTCTCTCAGTAGTCCAACGACAGAACCACCTGCAGGGGGCTCTAGACCCTTGGAGAAAGCGTGGGAGCTATGATCAGCACTCCCACTTCCTGTGGGGAATGGATGGGGGTGTTGTGCAAGGGGCTGTGATCCCCAGCACACCTGAGCTCCTGTGGCTGGGCCCCAGGCAGTACCCAGAGCAAGGGGCCCATCCTAGAGCCATGGCCACTGCTGCCGGGCACTCCCAGACACATTTAAACCTGGAAGCAGTTCCTGCCACATTAAAAGCTGCTCCCATCTAGTATTTAAAAGCAGAAAAAGCAGCTCCTGCCTATGTAAAAGTGGCAAAGCAGCTCTGGTCTGTTTGAAAGAGGTGCTGCCCATTTAAAGGCACAGGTACAAAAACTACAGACGAGACGGCTCTGTGGCTTTCTGGGGCTTTCTGCTGCTCTCCCTCCCTTTGGCTGTTAGGAACTGTTGTCTTTCAAATAATTCATTTGTTTAAAAGCTAAACTCTTAACCCAGGTGATTTATTTACAGTTCTTGTGAAGATTTATGAGACCCTAAATTAAAGACATCTGACCTACCTCTGATGTTTAATGTTACGCGTTGACTGCTTTGATTATTTGACCAAGAAAGAGATATACAATGCTGACAAATCCAAAACCAAGGGAGGATTTCACTTGAAAGTCTAGAGATATTGGAGAAAGTGTTTACCTCAGGTATTTACAAGGTGTAAAATTTAATTTGTTTACCAACTCTACATTATTTTACATATAAAAGTTCATTGAAATACCATTTTATTATAAATTATCCAGATGCTTCTGAAGTAAAAATGCAAATCTGCTCTGTATAATGTTTTAATTCTTAATCATAACTGAACATGAGATGACTTATGAAAAATGACTCTAAAGCTATTTTGAGTGTGTTTTTATTGGTAAGATATTATGCTTACACTTCTAATCTGGTGGAAAAGGTAGTCTTAAGAACTTCCAAGTATTCTAGATTTTCAAAACTGAATGAGAAAAACTATACCATCAACCTATTGTTTTAATCATCTGGAGAACATCCATGAAACTGATTGTTCCTAATACTTAGTCATTCAGTTCTAATTCATCTAACTGTATCAATACCCACTGTCCACACTGCTTTAGTGTTCCTAAGTACTTTGATTCTGAGAGACTTAACCAAGTCTACAATCACAATGGGTTTCCTTGGACCGTTATTAGCAGATGCTAGTTTGCCATATATTAATAGACATCCTTTAGTGTATTCTTTTGAATGCAATTTGTTCTGTTAGGGATGATGTTAGCCTGCTTTCTGCTATTCCTGTAGGTTCAACCAAAGCACAGCAGCTTATGTAGGTGCTCACTGTGCGGTGATGGATGTTTGAACAACTCTTTCTTATAGTTATTTTTGATGGTAAGTGCCTCATTTTATCTCCAACCTCTCTAACTCTCAGTGGAGACAATGGCCAGTGAGGAAGCTGCTGCAGATTCCTTTGGCCACTGCATAATTTAAAAAGTCACTATTTTATTTTTGTAAGGCCTGTGAATGGACATGGATTGTGGTTTGTGCACCCTCATAGGTAAGAACTAAAGCTGCTGCTTTCAGAGAACATATGAGACTTGGGTTGGATTTCCCCTTGCTTCAAAATTCAGGTAATTAATTTAGATTTCAAAAACTCAGGTAATTACTTTGGATTTCCACCTTTACTGCCTTGATGAGTATAAGGCATACTGTTCTCCAGGCAGTCAGGGAAGCCCTTGCAGGGATTCGCCATGATCTGTTTCTTAAGTGGGTAAGGGAGCCCCTGAAGGCTCCACCCTCCTTCCTAAAGAATTAGTGGGTCACAGTATGTGGAGTTCTAAGGTTTAGGATTACTAGAAAACTAAGACACCATTGTCACTACTATGGCTTTGAGCAGAGATGTCTGCTCCTAAGGAAATATTAAGCTTAAGGAAATACTGAGGCTAAGGACTAGGTAAGTACTTGAGTATCACAAGAGGTAATTAGTGAACTACAGATCTTCCTTCTGCAGTGGATGCCTTCTGAAGGAAGACATAGTTTTCTCTTTCTATAGGCCTCAGTTCGTGCCATGGGAAACATCCTGCACAATGCCCTGTAGATCCCAGCAACCTTGCCACTAGGTCTTATCCTTCAACCTGGGAACAATTTGACCCTGACATTCTGAGAAAGGAACCACTTATTTACTATGGTAATACGGTTTGAGTCCAGTACAAACTAGGACATAGCAAACAATTGGTAAAGGATGTCAGCTTAAATCACAAAATTATTTTGCAGCTAGGCCTTTTCTATAAAAAGTATGAAAAGTTGAATGAAATTCCCTATGTTCAGTGTTTTGTAACTCTTCATCACCAGCAAAGCCCAGAGACTCTGGTAGATAGCCCCCAAGGAAGAGGAAGTTGTTACCATTGATGATCCTGTCGTCAGAG